TCTCTCAACTTTCTCTTCACAATATCCCACAGGTTCTCTATGGGGTTCAGGTCAGGAGAGTTGGCAGGCCAATTGAGCACAGTAATACCATGGTCAGTAAACCATTTACCAGTGGTTTTGGCACTGTGAGCAGGTGCCAGGTCGTGCTGAAAAATGAAATCTTCATCTCCATAAAGCTTTTCAGCAGATGGAAGCATGAAGTGCTCCAAAATCTCCTGATAGCTAGCTGCATTGACCCTGCCCTTGATAAAACACAGTGGACCAACACCAGCAGCTGACATGGCACCCCAGACCATCACTGACTGTGGGTGCTTCACACTGGACTTCTGGCATTTTGGCATTTCCTTCTCCTCAGTCTTCCTCCAGACTCTGCCACCTTGATTTCCGAATGACATGCAAAATTTGCTTTCATCCGAAAAAAGTACTTTGGACCACTGAGCAACAGTCCAGTGCTGCTTCTCTGTAGTCCAGGTCAGGCGCTTCTGCCACAGTTTCTTGTTCAAGAGTGGCTTGACCTGGGGAATGCGGCACCTGCAGCCCATTTCCTGCACACACCTGTGCACGGTGGCTCTGGATGTTTCTACTCCAGACTCAGTCCACTGCTTCCGCAGGTCCCCCAAGGTCTGGAATCGGCCCTTCTCCACAATCCTCCTCAGGGTTCGGTCACATCTTCTCGTTGTGCAGCGTTTTCTGCCACACTTTTCCCTTCCCCCAGACTTCCCACTGAGGTGCCTTGATACAGCACTCTGGGAACAGCCTATTCGTTCAGCAATTTCTTTCTGTGTCTTACCCTCTTGCTTGAGGGTGTCAATGATGGCCTTCTGGACAGCAGTCAGGTCGGCAGTCTTACCCATGATTGTGGTTTTGAGTAATGAACAAGGCTGGGAGTTTTTAAAAGCCTCAGGAATCTTTTGCAGGTGTTTAGAGTTACGTCGTTGATTCAGATGGTTAGGTTAATAGCTTGTTTAGACAACCTTTTCATGATATGCTAATTTTTTGGGACAGGCATTTTGGGTTTTCATGAGCTGTATGCCATAATCATCAGTATTAAAACAATTAAAGACCTGAAATATTTCAGTTGGTGTGCAATGAATCTGAAATATATGAAAGTTTCATTTTTATCATTACATTATGGAAAATAATGACCTTTATCACAATATGTAAATTTTTTGAGAAGGACCTGTATATACACACATGTATATATTCTAAATCTTGTTCAGAACTTCTTTGATTGACGTCAATGAGTTCCTCACCCTCCTGTAGAGATGTGTTGCTCTCTTAAAGCAGCTCTGCAGCTCGTTGGTCAGAGCCCTGCAGGACTCCAAGCTGACTGGTTGATCTGAACAGAAAGAAACAACAACTTGTTAGGTTTTATTATTAAACAAAACAGGATTACAGTCGGAACAAATTATTAAATAAAAGAATTGCAAATGTGCTTTGTGTTCACAGTCACCCACTTTTGGTTTTAGGACCATGATAAACTGATCTGGTCTTTACTAAGTTCTAACTTCAAGTTAGATCTGAATAATTTCAGAACCTGGTGAAGACCAGGTCCCACTTATAAAATTACAATACGGTATTTTTTTCATAACTGTAGTATCGTCATGTGACACGATGGAGACAACAGAAAACAGAAGGATTCAGAGGAAACATGTTGGAGGAGGAGTGACACGTCTCACCCGTTTCAGAGAGAGGAGGAGGAGGGGCGGAGCCAGAGAGATGACAGGATGAAGTGATGAAGAAGAAGAGGAGGAGGAGGAGGGAGAGGATGAAAGTCCAAACCTGGATCTTCTGTGTGGTCTGAGGTGAAACCTGCCGGAGTCAAAGGCTCCTCCTCGGTCTGCGGTGGAGACACAGGAGGAGGCTGCGAGGAAGAGGAGCCTGCAGGCTTGGAGGATGTTGAGAAGGAGTCCAGGACGGGTTTGTCTGGAAGTGGTCGGCTGCAGCCAGGAACACGAGCCTGGAGACCGCGGGTAGGAGGAGCAGCTCGATCACCATGGTTACCAACAGACATGGACCACAAGGAGGAGACGAGAACAGGGCTGACGGTGGCTTGAGGAGACGTGGCCAGAGATGAGTTCGAGTGCACCACGGCAACACAAGGAGATGGAGTCTCCTTGACCTGAGAGGAGGAGGGTGGTCCTGATGATGTCACTGAAGGATCTTCAGCAGGTTCAGGGAGGTGCAGGCCATCACCTATGGAGATGGAGCGGGACATCTTGGCCATGGAGCTGGCTGTGGGACTCATGTAGGAGCGTTGCGCTGCCAAGGAGGACGACGAGGACTTCCTTGGTGTGAGAGCAGTGTTCTCCTGCAGGGGGGACCGTGGGGAGGCAGGGCTGGGTTTCCCTCCGGGTGGCGCCGTGGATGGAATCCATCTAGGAGAGGAAGGAAGGGTGGTGGGACGCTGAGGGGGGACCTCTCTGGATGGACAAGAACCTGAGGGATCCCCTGCTGGAGCAAGACAGAAGGTGTTCAGTGTGAAGTCTTGTGGGTTGGAGTGGAGACACTTGTGGGTGTGAGCGTTACCTGCTTCAACCAGGCTGTGGACCGACTGAGCCTTCCGAAGGCCAGGATTCAGGAGGGGGGACGCAGCATGGACCACCAGATCTGGGTTCCTTCTGGGTTCCACTGCAGTTTGGATGTTCTTCTTCAGTGGTGAGGGGTCGGGGGCCGGAAAGACCGAGGGGGTCTCCTCCACCTGTGACTGCAAATGCTTTGGATCTTGCTGAATGTGAGGAGGCTGTGATCTGCCCTGAGGTATAGAGGTCCGGTCCTGGTCCAGCGCCTTGCTCTGGCTCGCTTCCATCAGAGGCCGGACCTCAGAGACAGGGGGCCGGACTTTTACCTCCCCCTCACCGCCCTCGTTGGACCACGCAGTTAAAGAAAATCCAGTCCGGCTGAGGAGGAAGGAGAAGACAACTTAACATGCTGCAAACACGGCGCCTGTCTGCTTCTGTCCAACGGGCCGACCCGGATCAGAACCAGGAAGCACAGACAACCACAAAGACACTCGAAGCCCTGCCGTTTCATCGGAGCGTTCAGTGTCTTACCTTCCAGCTGAGTTCTGGGAGAGGAACCTGGAGGAGATGCTGAGACTCTCACTGGAGCTGTGAGACGTTCTGCTCGGACCTCCTGCCAACACAAACATTTCACGTGACCTGATCCATTAGCTGCCAGAACAGTTGGTTTGTTTGATCTGTGGTAAACTGGGAGTTATTAACTAAAACCAACAGGAAGTTAACCAGCTGCGCCATCAGACCTGAGGCGGACAGGTCCGCTAACGTGACGAAGTTCTCCTTCAGGAAAGCCTCCTGGTCTGAAGCCTCGGGAACACTTCGAGATGTTCCCAGGTTCCCGCCTCCTTGTCCTTCCTCCTCGTCTTCCTCCTTCATCTCAGACTCCAGGTCAGAAGAGTTTCCACAGAGAGTGGATTCTGTATCTGAAGAACACAGGAAACAAAAGATGAAGACTGTAAACACATCAGAACTTATCTCGTCGTTCTTCGTCTTACTGTCTCCTGCAGGTCTTTTTGGACTGGACAACGTAGAGTTGAACCCCAGAGAGCAGCCGCTGTCTGGACTTGGTTTGTCCTGCTGTCCAGGTGCAGCAGAGTAGCTCACCTCCTTCACCTGAAACTCACTGACAGAAGGTGGAGAGGTTCTCCTTGATTTGGTCCTCAAAAATATTTCACCTCTCATAAAGTGGAGTTCTGTTAAATCCATCATTAGGACGTAGAAGAAATATGAAACATGTGTAAATCTACCAAGAGCAGGCCGTCCTCACAAACAGACCTCGAAGAAGGAGAATATTGAAAGAGACCTCCAAGACACCTGAGTCCACTCTGAAGGAGCTGCAAGCTTCAGCAGATAAGAGAGACTGAGCATACAAGAACTGTTGCCTCAGTTCTTCACTAGTCTGAGCTTCATGAACAGATACAAACCCTCTGTGCAGGGGGATGCCCACGATTGGGGGAAACAAGCCCTCCACTTTGACTGGTAGGCAATGAAGCTCTTCATAAAAAAAGGCCTACTGCATTCCTTTGAAGCTTTTCAGTGCCTAAATACTACAGCCTGTTAGGCAAATATTTATCTACGGTAGTGTCATTGATCATTGAAGACAAGTGTTATATACAAATACATGTCGACTAAAGCAGGCGTCTGCAACCTGCGGCTTTTCAGTCCCACTGCTGAGGCTCTTTGAAGCTTTCACCAAAACTAACACAAAATGTAATCGGTTTAAATTTATGTCATTTTACTTTAATGCAGGATGTTTATCTTTTCCACAAATAAAAGAGGACTCACATAGGCTCAGATGTTTTAATGATCAAAATTGGTAAAAACTATATTTCCCCCCCTTCGTTACATGAATTTAGCTTTTCTTTAATCCTAAAACGTAAAAAAAAAGTAAATAAATGTTAAAATTCATTGTTTTGCCAAGAAAACCCCAACTTCAACAAACTCAAAGTGGCCCATGAGCCACCAGTTGATAATCACAGCTGTAGCAGGTTTTCAATTCAATATACTTTATTGATCCCAAAGGGAAATTTCATTTCAATACATCCCGTCAAGAAACAACAGACACGCGGGGACAAGATGTCTGAGGCTGCAGCCGCAGAGAGCAGCGCCACCTTTTTCATTAGATAAGGAAAGTGAAAACATAAAAAGAAAGCGCCAGGTGCATTTTATTCAGCGAGCGAAGGACAATGACTCTTTTTGATCAAAAAGTTTGCGGACCCCTGGACTAAAGTCATCAGTTTGGGGATGTGATCTGATTTGAATATCTGGAAGAACATCTCACACAGTCGTGTTCTCATTTATTTTAAACGCCTTGGTTTGGCATTTTGATTGTTGGACACCTCCCTACAGAGGCATGTTCAACTGGGAGGAGACCCTGGGGAAGACCCAGACCAGTTGAGAGACTCTCAGCTGGTCTGGGTGTTGGTTGGTCATTAGTGGACGCGACAGTAAACTCGTTAAATCTTAATTATTTGGTATGCTAATAAGCATTCTGCCTGTTAACCAGTAAAACAAGTAAAATTCTGCTTTAATGACTGAGACATAATATCTTTTATCATGATTGCAGGAGCGTTGTGTAAACTGTATCCGATTACCGCCTTAGAGGTAAACTAAGAAATAGAAGTATCCCTGTTGCTACTTTCTCAGAGACTCAGATTGCAAGATGTTTGTGAAACTGTTCAGATAAATCTCCCAGCTGTCCATTTTTGATTCATTTTAAAGTCAAATATTAACAACATCAAACAAAAGCGTTTCCGTGAAATCTGTAACTGCAGCCTCACCTGTGCATGTAAAAACACGTCTTCTAGTGCAGAGAGTTCATGTTAGGATGTAATACCTGCCCGCCAGGCTCGTCCTGTCTTCCCATCCATCAGGAAACAGGACTGGATCTTCTGCATTCAGGGTCTGAGTGGACAGCTGGATGAAGTCTGGCCTCCGACTGCTCTTTGTTTCTTCATCTGCCTGCGTGAACAGAAACAAAAACTTGTTTTTAACACCTCAAGGCAGTGATGGCGAGCGGTATCTCTGAAGGGTTTGAAACTGATCACGTTTTATTTGCAGAACTTGTTTTATAGCTTTAGGTCTACTCCATTCTGTTTCAGAGCGACGCAGAAAAAGTAGTTCACGCATTTGCTCTGAGCAAACACACTTATCCCCTGAACAGGATCAAGCTTTGCTTGGATTCAAGTTGAGGTTGGAGTGCGTGAATCATGCACGTACCAGTGACAGACTCTCAGCAGCGCAGTCGTATTGAAGTGGATGCTGCTCGTATGAAGTACAGAGAAAACACAACCTGGCCTGCTCGTACTTTTCAAATTAGAATTCAAAATTAACAACAATAAAAGCTGGTGACTAAAGCTGCAAAAGTACAATTTGGCTAACTGACCTGGAGCCGTCCTGCTCACATTTAGGAGTATCAGCAGAGGTGGGCACAGTTCTGCTAATCCGCTAATAGCTAACAGTGGAACTAATGTTTCATTTAGCAGATTAGCGTTTTCACTAATTTAGGAAATCGTTAGCAAAAATTAGCTTCCACTAAATTAGGTTTAGCCAACTTTAAGTCCGATAGCAAAATTCACAAGCATGTTCCTGTCTGTTGTGGGCGTGCCTCAAGACGTGATTGGACAACACAGTTTCAACCATAAGGAGAGGAAGACGTGCGACGCAGACTGAGTGACAGTCGTCTTAGCGGTTTAGCATGAGCTTAACCTGTTTGGCGGTTTAACGTTAGCAAAGCTAATGTTTTGGTTAGCTGTGCCCACCGCTGAGTAACATACTTCATGAATTGATTAGAAATGGACAATACTCAGAATAGCTCGTATTGACGAGCTAATAATGGCTAGTCCGAATGAAACCGGTTCCAAAAGGGATTTTAGCATCTTAAAGCTCCAATCGTTGAACTTTCAAAGCAGTTCATTCAAACTATTTTATGCAAAGCTTTGCATCTTCATCACATTTGAATTACGCTGTTATTTCAGCAGAAATATTACAATGTTCCTGCTGGAACTGACACCAGGCTGCACTGGAAGTGCTACAGGGGCAGCTGTGGCTGAGAGGTGAGAGCAGTCGTCCTCCAGTTGGGGGTTCGATTCCACCAGCAGTTACATGTTGAGTGTTGCATGAATGTGTTTGTGGAGGTAAATGAGGGCACAGATTGTGATGTAAAGAGTTTTGAGTATCTTGATTACCGGTAGATAGAAAGGAGCTATGTAAGCACAGTTCATTTACCATTTACAGCTAGCTGCAGCTATTTAGTAACCCCAGAATTCCATGTAAACACTCAAGTATTGAGGCACTCATGGCATTGTAAAAACAGGGTTCATATGAACCACTATAAAGTTTGAGAGATTGGAGCTTAGCTGTTTGCCTCAGTTCAGTCTGAATTAAACTCTGTTTCTCCTAAGAGCTATGTACAGCAGGTAAGTTATTAACTGTTCATCATTTTTCCACAGAAGCTCTTTTTACAATGTCTAAAATATCAAATACCAAATAAAACAAAGGGAAATTGATGGTTTATTTGGATTAAATGATCCCTTCTTACCCACGCAGAGGTGACCTGCAGGCTGATGGTGCTCTGCAGCTTCTCTGTGGTTCCATGACTCAGAGGCTCCACCCTCTGACTCCTCCTCCTCAGGCTGCAGGTGTCATCAGGGTGGGGCCATACCTTCGTCTGAGGGGGGAGCAGCATCATATATGAATGATCAACTCAACTCATGTTTAAAAACAGTCCTGGTTTTAAAGTATGCAGCGGTGTCAGACAGAACCTCCTCCGGTCTCTCCTGAGTGTCGGAGCTGTAGGAGCCGAGCAGTCTCAGGTCCAGCATGGAGTTCACCATCAGGTCGCCATCAGCGCCGGTTGCCTTCCGGGACCAGCGGCGGCGAACGGGTCGAGTCGCACATGTGTCCTGCAGACCCGCCAAAACACAAAGTGCCTTTTTTATATTTCTACAGAAAATGGAATGTTTTCAGAAAAGGAAATGTTTCTGGTTTTAGCTGTTTTTAAGGTGGAGTCAGTGTCATGTGATCCATACACATGGTTGTTTAGTTTTTGGTGCAAACGCCTCCAACTGGAAACAAACTTTTTAACTACATGCAAACGTACCTTCCTGCTCTCTCTGCTGCACGCGTCATCAGACACTTGAGAAAGAAGCAAACGGAGAAAATGCATCAGTTTAAAAAAGAGAAAGGACTTTTTCTGTCAAAACGAGGCAAGAGCGCAGCTGCTGAAAGCAGCCGAAGAAGCTGAAATCGAGTCAAAGCTACAAGAAAGAACATGCTGGCAAAAAACTAAAGGTAGCAAAAAAAGTTAGTTAAAAGCTAAAAAGCAGCAAAAGGCCAGCTAAATGCTAAAAGTAATGCAAGACTAAATAAAAGATGAAAGCAGAAGTAGAAAAAGCTAGAATTAACAAAAGACTAGCTTAAAGCTAAAATTAGAAAAAGGCTAGTTAAAGGCATTTAAATTTTAGCTGAAAGTAGCAAGAGGCTGGTTAAAAACTAAATGTAGCAAAACATTAGCCAAAAGCTAAAAGTAACAAAATGCTAGTTTGAAGCAGCAAAATGTTAGCTAAAAGCAAAAGGAGCACAGGAGTAGCTAAAAGCTGAAGGAAAAAAAACTAGCTAATAGCTTAAAGTGACAAAAGGCTATCTAGAAATTAAAAGTTAGAAAGGGCTAACTAAAAGCTAAAAGTAGCAATGTGCTTGCTAAAAGCTCAAATGAAAAAAAAAAAAGGTCAGCAAGAAGTAGCTGAAAGCTAACTCAAAACTAAAAGTAGTACAAGGCTGGGTAAAAGCTAAATGTATAAACAGGCTAGCTAAACCCAAAAAGTAATGTTAGGCTACCTAAAAATTAAAAGTAGAAAAAAATTCCAGGTAAAACCTAGAAGTAATAAAAGACTAGCTAAAAGCTCAAGTAGTAAAGTGTTAACCAACAGCTAAATGTATCAAAATAACAGGCTAAAAGTAGCAAAAAGCTAGTTAAAAGCAGCAAATGTTACATTAAAAGTGAAAAGTAAAATAAGACTAACTAAAATTTAAAACTATAAAAACACCATTTCTGATCTGGTTCTGTTCAAAGCCAAACTGAAAACCTACTTATTTAAAATGGCTTTTAATATTTAACTTTTAGAATTTAGCATTTTTTATCTCTTTTACCTTATTTTATTCTGGCTGTTTTTAATTTGCACCAATTTATTGTGTTTTGTTTTTATTTGTTTTATCTTGTAAAGCACCTTGGTCACTGCAAGGCGTTGTTGGAAGGTGCTATAGAAATAAAGTTTTTATTATTCTTATTATTAAAACCTAGAAGCAAAAAAGCATAGCTAATATCTAGAATTAACAAAAGGATAGTTAAAAGCTTAATCTAGAAAATGACTAAATGGTATTTCAATGCTAGCTGAAAGCTAAAAGTAGCAAAGGCTGATTTAAAGTGTAACGTATCAAAAGGCTAGCTGAAAGCTAAAAGTAATGTAAGGCTAGCTAAGAACTAAAACTAGCAAAGTGTTAGCTAAAAGTTAAAAATAGAAAAATATTAGCCACAACCTAGACCATGCAAAAGGTTAGCTAAAACAATAGCTAAAAGTAGCTTATGAAGACAAACACAGAGCCAGTAGCTGAAGCAGATTTCAAAGAGAAAGTTACTGAAGGATTGAAATCTGAATGTATTTATTTGGGGAAAATCTTTGTAAACAAAGTAAAATATTTTTAAAAGTATAAGTTACTAAAACTAAAAGTCACAGCAACTATCTCTCAAACAAGTCGGACATTAAGATATACAAACAGCTAAAACTGTAACAAGTATGCAGAAGTAGTTAGATCCAAATAAATAACTAATAAAAACAGGAAAAACTGTCATTCGAACGCTGACTCAGCATTTATACAAAAAACTATTATTTTAATTTTTAATAAAGAAAATAATCACCTGCTGTTGATTTTTTTTTTATAGAGAGAATCATTGAGATGTGATGGTATCTCAGAGAAAACTAACCTGCGTCTTCCTCTGGACTTCCTGTCAGGACCCCTCCCTCCTCTTCCTCGGCATCGCTGTCAGACGACATGTTGATGACATCAGAGGAGAACGTCTCGCCGCTGCTCAAACACACAACCAGAAATAACGCTCGGGTTCAAAGTGCTGAAGAGTGAAAAACAACACGGTGGAATCTGATCTTGTTCTTGTTAGATTGTTCTTGTCAGAACCAGGAAACATTCTGCAAACTCCATAAACCCTGAGTCAGTCCTGATCCTCGTCTTTTTTTTCTCCCCCCCCCCTCTTTTTGTTGGTGTGAGGTCAAAGGTCACGTACCTGGGCTTCACAGCTTTCTGATGAGGTGCATTCTGGGAGTTTGACGTCAGCTGATCTGGCTGGAGATCATCGAGTCGCTGCTTCATCCTGATGGTCAGCTCTGGATTCAGACGCCACACAAAAATGCAACTGGACACACAAAGAACACACAAAGAAGAGAGGCTTTGAAGTCCGAAGGAAGCAGATAAAAGTTGTCCCGGTGGAGGACACGAGTTGGACCGTGTGGGACGTACCTGTCTGCTGACACCGTGATCAGGTGTCTGCAGTCGCTGCTGAACTTCATCCCTGTTACGATCTCTGAAACACAAACAGGAAGCAGAATGACTACAAGAACCAGGAGCCAAAACGTCTCCGCAGATAAACTCAAGGACTTGATCTTCCTGAAGGAATGCATGTCGCCCGCCGGCTGTCACGCCTGAGTTTGAGACTGAGACTTTTGTGTTTGTGAAGGTCAGCTGGCTGTGGCAGCCATCTTGACTCGTGCTGACTCCAACAGTTAACCAGTTGTAAACGTACATCCAATGATTACTGTCCGACAGTTTATGTTAAAATTTAGGAACAAACACACACAGACAAAAACATGATCGCCCGCCCTCGCCTTTCAGCAGCGGGTGATAACGGTAATAAATCGGCACACACGTCTCTAACAGACCTGAGTGTCCAAACATGGTGGCCACACATTCTCCTGAGAAGAAGTCAAACACGGAGACGTTCTTGTCCGAACACGATGTGGCCACATAGAGTCCAGACGGGTCGATCTGCACCTGAAGGACGCCGTGGACGAAGAGGAGGAGTCAGTTACCACTCAACTCATTTTAAAACAAGTGGTAACAACAAACCGATTACCTTAACGACAGTCCCGTCCTCGCCCTGAGAGCCTTTATAGACCTTCTTCTGTTTCCCGTTGCTGATATTAAAGATCCTGCAGGACGGACATGTCTTTAAACAAATGAAGACACAAGAGACAAAAGAAAAAAGTTGCAGGATTTACCTGATTTTTCGGTCCTGACAGCCTACAGCTGCGTACTTCCTGGTTGGTTCGACGTCCATGTCGTACAAAGTCGTCTTCCTGACAACGTGATGCGTTCGGGTGAACTCCAAACTCTCCCCCATCTGAGGAAAATATCCACCAGAAATGAACGAGCAGCTAATCTTTTAGCTTCTAAGTTACTCAGACGCTACTTTTACCTGCTGAGCTGTACGGAAGTAGACGCTCTTATCGGCGCCGCAGCTGATCATCCTCACCTTCCCCTCATTGGCTGTCGGACAAAAAGAAGAACGGGGGTTAAAACCAGCAGCTGGGTGTGCGTACATGGGGGTCAGAGGTCAACTGACCTGCAAATCTGACGGCGGTGATGGAGGACGAGTGCTCGTCCAGAGTCTGGACCAGGCTGTAGTCTCGGCCCGCGTCCAGGATGTGGATCAGACGGTCCCGACTGGCTGTGGCTAATAACTGGAGACCTGAACGATGCAAAGGAACAGACAGGAACGTTCTAACTGCTGCCTCTACAGTTTGTACAACAAAACATCAGCCATATTTACAGATTAGATCCAGACTTCCTGTTGGGCTTTTGAGAAGAAAGAATCTCAGCCTGTAGCTGCTGTGACCCATTTCAACAGGATTAAAAAAAGTGTTGGAGTTTAGTTTGTCCAGCTGAGCGTCACGCCCTGTCTAAGTTGAAACATCAAGTCAGTTTCCTGTAATTCTGAACAACAAACAAAAGGTCAGATGACTAACTCACCATTCACACTTTTATTTTGAAGGTCTGAGCTTGTGCTAACAAACACTTATGGTTTTTCCCAGCTGATAAAAAGTGAATTTTCCTTTTTGAACAGGATGTTTATCACTGCCTCTGAAAAATAAACTACAAAAATTACCTTATTTTTATTTTTTTTTCAGAACTGTTAATGAAGTTGACTTGACGTTTTTTTTTTTTTATGGAGTTTTTATCTCAAGCTGACTCACAGTCACTGAGCTGACTTACAGGAAGTGACATCACTCTTGCTGATAAACAGATAAACTGCTGACTGTTGGGAGTTTTGGGCCCGAGGGTTTATCTGCTTGTTAGCCCGTGTTAGAGCTGCAGATTTAAACCCATTAGTCAGAAATCCTTCATGCTCTGTGCTGCACCTTGGGGGTTCTGAGGTGGTTTTAAAAGCTGCCCAACAGCTAAAGGAAGACAAATTGGACTTATTTTTGTTGTTTTGTTTATGTTGAGACAAACTCTCAATTTGGGTTCTGGTGTCCGAATCAAAACTAGCCTTTCTGGTTCTGTTAGAGCTCAAAATATATGATGATCAGTCTCAGCTACCACCACACCATATTTTAGCTCAATATCTGTAAAACTAAACAAGTTGGAGCCTTTTTTGAGTTTGCTAGTGATGTTTACGCCTCTCCCTGTGTGTTCTGAGTGATCCTCACCGGTGTCAGGTTTGGAGAACTCGAGACACAGAATTTCGGAGTCGTGAGCCTGAACATTCAGGATCTCCTCCATGCTGCTCAGATCGTGAATCCTGGACACAAAACCACCACAAACACATCAAACCGACTCAAATAAAGGAAGAGGACCAGTAGCTTCATCGCTGCTTTACCTGAGGACCCCCATCCGGTCTCCAGAGGCCAGGTGTTGTCCGCTTGGACTCACTCTAAGGGTCCTGATGCCCGTCCTGCTCTGGTCCATCTGCTGGCCCTCTGAAACCGGTGACGTCACCTTCTCCGTGTTGCCGTTAGCAACAGCGACGCTGTCCGTGTCCAGGAGGCTGGTGGTGTTGTCATCCACATAAATAACTTTCTGCAGGTCCTAAGGGGTCAGAGGTCAGAGTAATGCAGTTGTACAGGTAAGAGGCGGAGCTTCTCAGGCATAGGTGCAGCGCTGCCGTACGTTACTCAGGATGTTCCTGTGGAGAACATTGTGCCGGTCGATGTTCCACAGTCGGATGGTGTTATCTGAGGAGCAGGACAGGAAGGATCCAGGAGGAAGGTGTGCCTCACACCCTCCTCTTCCTCTTCCCTCTGCGTACACCTGCAGGAGACCCAAAAAGAGGACTGATCGCAGGTATTTACAAGTGTCTCACGTTGCATGCTCAGGTATTTAAATGAACCACGTCTGGTTAAAAACCTCTCATCCCTACAGTGAAGCACGGTGATGGCAGCATCATGTTGTGGGAATGTTTTGATCAGCAGGGCCTGAGGAACACCTGGCTGAAGCTACACCTCCGTGTTGTGTGTTTTTAAAAAGGACACACTCCTCAAATGTCTTCTTAAATTCCATATTTAAATTATAAAAAACATGATTTACTTTAAATTCCTTAAAATGTAGGTAACATGTTGTAAGTGTTAAAAAAAAGACCGACCTCGAGGCCCCACACACACGACGAGTGGTAGAGGGCGGAGTACAGCTTCCCCGTTTTGCAGAGGTCCTGAACGTCCCAAACGTAAAGGCTATGGTCATTGTAGACACATGACAGCCAGTGATTGGTGGGGTCAAAGGTCACTGCCACTGCATCCGGATACCGAGCCTCTCCTCTGCAGGAGAACAGCTGGCTGGAGGAGCAGAAACACAGAGAGTGACCCTTCTCCTGCTGTGGTTTCTCTGGTTACACAACTGGTCTGAGTTTAGGTCTGATTCTGAGCCAGCAGTTTTGTGAGTTACCTGGCATTAACCATACTGGCGATGTCAGCGCCCAGGCAGTGTGGGCGGGGCAGAGTACAAAGAAAGTGCAGGTTGACGGGACTGAAGGCTCGGACCGTCCCGTCAGAGCAGCCGCAGAAGATGAACTCATCCGTGACGGACAGACAGGTGGCCTGGGACGCCTGGAGACAGACAGATGAAAGGACACGAGGGACAGAATGAGACTGCAGGACTGACTCTGCGCTTCAACGAAGCAAAGAAAGAACCAAAAATGGTGATAAAATGTGAGTTTTAAACGGCGGGTCCACTCATCGTCCAGACTCAACTGGTGAGGTGGTTATGAATGAAAGCAGCATGCAGCGAGTGACATGTTGACATCTTCAGAAAGTACTTTTAAAAACAGCTGCCGTTAGCTCAAGTGCTGCACATAAAACAGTCAGAAGATAAAGAAAACACTAAAAGAAACCTCCCTGTACAGTATACTGCAGCTGTGAGAACTATCAAAACACACAAGAAGTTGTGATTAAATGAACAGGAGATATAAGATCAGCAGTAAATGGAAACTGTAGATCTGTGAGGTGTAAAACATCAGGTTTGGATCTGTTTACAAACAGTAATAAAACCTGATTTTAAGAGTTTTTAACTCTCAGGTGGAAACAATGGTTGAAACGGTCTAAACCAAGGCTAAACTAAATTGCTCAGGAGGCCACAGTTACTAAAACCAAGAGCTCAGGGGCCAGACATCCAGCAGTTATTGTCATTAAGTTTGTTTTATGGTTTAAAATCTAGTTTTATTTATAAATGACCCCATTTGGAGGGCCAAACTGAGTTTACCCGTGGGCCTAATTTGCTCCCCGGGCCGCCAGTTGAATAGCTCTGGTCTAAACGTTAACAACATGTCTGTATGAGGCTCCGCCCACTTTTGAGATCGAGCCCATAAACACCCAAACATTAAAGCCCGTCAGGCTGATTATTGTCTTAGCCAATTAAAAATTATCTTTCTACATGAAAACTTTCAGAAATATGAACTGAAGTTCAACAAATTGGCAGAATGGCGCCCCCAGTGGCCAGATGTGTCGTTAGCAGACAAATTGTGAATCCCTGGAGGAAAATGTTTCAAACACTCGTCACGTTCTCGTTTATTGAGCGGCTTTTGTCGTTGTAGCCGTTTGTCCTGAGTGCAGCATCAGCTTTTGCACTATTGTTTTCCTGTTAATAGTTTATTCTGAACATTTTTTGTGATATAACTACTTCTGCAATCAGGAACTTTAATTTGTTTTTGAAATGTTTACGTTTATCTACAAATATTTTCCCATAGATACGTGTAATGCTACTGTTAGCTACTTCTATGCTAATTTTGTCCCAAGCGATCATTTTTGTACTTTTAGCTTTCAGCTATCTCTTAACTACATTTTGCTTTTAGATAGCCCTTTGCAAATTTTAGCTTTTAGCTATAGGTTTTCTCCTTTAAACCCTTAGTTAAAAAGGTGCACTCTGTTCAGAGAAGCAAACAAAAATACAATTATTTTTTATTAAAAAAAATTCTGCAACACAGAACCTTTTTTCTAGGTTGTCACCAGCTGTTTAATAGGCCACACCCCTTTTTGTTTTCACCCCAAAAAGGGGTGTGGCCTTTTGGCAAAGAATGGCGTGGTGATGCTCCAATATAGTGGTAGTTGTGATGACTGTGTAAAACTCAATACAATGAAATTAAATTTTTTCAAAACTATGTGTAATAAAATGTTAAAATGACATACGAGGAGGTCCAAAGAAACCAAGTCCAGAACTTACAGAGAGAGAGTCGATTCTCTGAACAGGAAGCAGAGGAGGAAGCAGAGGAGGTTCATAAACACACAGCTGGGAAGGTGCTAACGTGTCACAACAGGGAGTCACGCCTGAAAGGTTGAGATAGGACTCACCCGTAGCTCCACCCACTTGTCCAGGAGTCTCCGGTCATTAAACTCACACAGCAGACCGGACGAGGTGATGCAGAAGGTGGAGGCGGACTGCCGGCCCCGCCCACATGCCACATCACTGAAGAAGTTGTTTCTGAGCTCTCCGAGCAGCCCTGAACGCCCCAGGAGGGGAACTGTGGCGTTCACCTGACATCAAACAAACAAAAAAAGATAACATCAACAACTGCAGAAATCCACAAACAACTGATTGACACGTTGTCATGACAACCTTGGAGGTCTTGGTGTGGTCCAGGTACCAGAACTTAACATGTCGGTTCCCGGCAGTCACAAAGTACGAGCTGTCATCAGAGAAGGAGACGGCGGTCACTTTACTGGACACCTTATTGGCCGCCACCACCACGTTTTTCTGCTCAACAATAACAACAACAACATATTTTTGTTTACGATTTATCAAGGATTCAATCACACAGAAAAGGAGGTGTAACGATAAACAGGTTTATACAGTAAACAATACGCACTAAGATGGTTTCATTTAATTAGAAAAGACTTCTCTGTCCCATGTTTGGTTGGGTTCCTTCACCCGCCGCAGCTCTACAAACGAACCGATCCGTGTACCGTTACACCTCCAAACATCATAAAGCTCATCTTGGTCCACTACCTTCCAGTTCCACACGTTGACCATCATGTCATGCTGGTAGCCCACGCTGACGATATATTTGCCATTTGGAGAAAACGCGACACAGGAGATGCCGTATTTATGCTCCTGCAGGTCCGAGACCTGAAGACGCTCGGACACATCCCAGACCCGGACTGCTGGCATGTGGCCGCTCTGAGGAAGACAGGAAAACATGAGCAGAACTCGTCTCGGCTGAGTCAGTGTTTAGACGATTAATGTCTCTCCTGCAAACTTTGTGCTGTTTTAAACAGATTTATATCAAAGCACCAAACATCAGGATACAACGTTTATTCTCTGTGAGTTTAATTAAATATTCAACTGTAAAATTATCTTTAATTCCTTTAAATCACTGTTATACTTAAATCTACTACAGGGGATCAGCTGTGTTTGTCCACTCAATCTTCTTTTAGATGTTTTGAACAATTTAGCTTTTTAATGATCTACCACTAATTTTTTATTATTTGCTAGTGTTTTGCTTGTTTTAGCTACTGTTCTGCTGGTTTAAGCCTTCTGCTACTAATTTGCTAATGTTATCTTGTAGCTACTGTATTGCTAATTTTAGCTTTCAGCTACTTTTCTACTGGCTTAATGCTTTTGCAACTGTTTAATGAATTTAAGCGTTTAGCTACTGTTTGGTTGGATTTAGCTTTAAGATTTGTTAATTTGAGCTTTTAGCCACTGTTTAGCTAATTTTATATTTTAGATCCTGGTAGACTAATGTTAACTCTTAGCTACTGTTTTGCATGTTTTTTGCTTTTAGCTGCTAATTTGCTGATTTTAGCTTTAAGATAGTTTTGTTAATTATAGCTATTAGCTACTGTTTTGATGGATTTAGCCTTTAGATGCTGTTCCACTAGTTTCTTATTATTTGCTAGTGTTTTGCTTGTTTAGCAACTGTTCTTCTGGTTTAAGCTTTTTACAACTAATCTGCTAATGTTATCTTGTAGCTACTCTATTGCCAATTTGAGCTTTCAGCTACTTTTCTACTGGCTTAATGTTTTTTAAACCGTTTAAGCTTTTAGCTACGGTTTGGCTTATTCAATATTTTGCCGATGTTCTGATATTTATATATATATATTTTTTGCTTGTGTTTTGCTAATTTTAGCTTTCAGCTTCTGTTCTACTAGTTTAACACTTTTGTGATTGTTCTGGTAATCTTAGCTTTTAGCTACATTTTGTCCATTTTAGCTTTTACCAATTGTTTTGTAATTTTTGCTTTTAGTTAGTTTGAATGGTTTTAGCTACTGTTGAGCTTATTTTGTTTTTTGCCAAGGTTTTGATTTTTTGTGACTCCTGAGCTTGTTGCATCTCTGAGCTACAGTTCTGCTGGTTTCAGATATTTTTTTATCTCCTGTTTTGTTGGTTTTAGCTTTTACAGTTCGGCTTCTCTTCAGCCGTCATTCGGCTCTCTGCGTTTGTGCATTTATTTTTTAGCAGAAAACGCTGGTTTGCTTTTGTTTGTTGGGACAGAGACACAAACACTGACCTCTCCCGTCACGATGTATTTTCCATCCGGAGAGAACGCCACCGTGGTGATGGCCTTCCTGAGAACACAAGAGGAGCGACGGAGAACCGTTCTTTATACTTTCAGAACCAGATTCACATGAAGCAGCAGCTTCATTTCACAGAAGAAGAGTTCAAGTTTAACGTTGTCTGATGAAGTCAAATCTTTTCTCGCTGTTTGACGTGAGGAGCCGCAGCAGGTTTACCTGGAGCTGTTGAAGATGTGCTGCTGTTTGTTCTTACGGGGGTTCAGCAGGACCACGACGCACCTGCAGGAACACAACCGGACCCGTCAGAACAAGGTCAAGCTGCAGCAGGTCGAAGGCCAACAAACATGTTTATTTTGAACATTTCTCAAACAAACTGTAAACAAATAAACATTTGCTCATCCTGGACCAACATTTAACATAATCAATAAAAATTAACTTCCAGCACAAAAAAAAGAACCTCGCTGATGCTTTGACCAGGATATGACAAGAACAAACTTTTTAAATAAAGGCCCAACACTCCTTAATGAAATGCATATCGCCCGCCATCGTCCATGAGCTTTAACCTAAATAAGAGTCGTAGGTTCAACAGTTAGGGCTCAGAGTATGGGTTGTGGAGGACTCTCAGCCACTACCACAAAACATTTCTGCTCGGTATCTGTAAAAATCATCGAGCTGTAGTCATTTTTCTGGTTTGCTGTGGCGGCCATCTTGAATTGGACTGACTTAAAATCTTAATCAGCTGCAGATGTTTAAATATCAGTTTTTAGCGATGTTATTAGTAGAAATTGTGCCCGCATTGTGTTAAAAATGATGGTTGAAGGTAATTGATGTTTATGTAGTTATATTTATTTTTTTCAGGAGGTGGTGGCAGTGGACCAATTTATTAAAATTTCCATTATTTTTAAGAGAAAATATTTTCAAAAAACATTGTTCTACAAAAAAAAAAAAAACCTGATTGAGTGGATTAGGTCTGTGCCTAGAGGGTTTACTAACTGTTAAGAAATATATTTAGCCCTTTAAAAAACCCAATATGAAAAAAAATAAATAAATAAGTGTAAAATGAAATATTTCATCAAACTGAGGATGTGTCACATATTCAAAGCACCATCTACAGCAGGTAAGATGTTGTTTATGTTTCCAACAGAACCTCACTTCATAAAGCCTGAAATATCCCTTTAACCACACAATTTAAAAAAGACCGCCTCAGCAGTTTGGTCCGACAGAACATCTGCATTGCAGCAGAGGTGCTGCAGGGGGGAGGGGGGGAGTCGGGGCTCGGCTCCTGCTTTCATCAGTTTTTACAGCCTCACCGAGTCCAACTTCCCCTTACATCATTTATTATCATTTCTCTAAAGAAAGACTCGCGGTTTACAAATTAATTTGATGTCAGATCTAATAATTGCTGTTATTCGTTTGCCTCATTTGCAGATGAAAACAGAAGCTTTAAAGAATTTCAAATGGACCCGTAATAATCCAGAATCTTCTCTAAGCAAGCAGCCTGTTAATCCAGCTGAGGAAGCTGCACACACCTGAGAGTCCACGACTGACAAAGTCGTTTTGGTCAAACCTTGCCAATAAGTCTGTTAGTGCTCAGAGTATGTGTTGGGGATGACTCTCAGCTACTACCACACCAGAGTGTAGCTCAGAACGTGCACAAGTGACTGAGCTGCAGCTCTCTTTGTGTTTGTTAAAGCCAGTTCACTGTGGTTCAGGCTGTAAATGAGATGAGGCTCTTCATCACCTTAAGTCAGACCGGTGGTTGGTGAGATATTTTGTTAACACAGACAACAATGTCCCCAACAGCTGTCCTGTAGCTCTACGGACTGAACTGTGAGTGTGTCTGCAGAGAGCAGCAAATGAACTGGGCCCGGAGGAAAAGCGCTGAGTAAAGTCAGACTAAATGTTTCTCTGTCTGACATGAATGTCTCTTTAGTTTCCCCTCAGCTGACCCACATTCACCCCCCCACACACACACCCCCACACACCATTCCACTGACCCACTTCAGTGTCCCTCGTTAAACGGCAGCCTGTCCCTTCAGAGTCCGAGCACACGCCAACCAATCAGGAGCTCCCAGGCCTCCCACGCCTGCAGCTGATTGGTGGGAAGAAATTTAAAAACTAAAGATCTGTCAGCTGACCCGCCTCCTCAGACCGGGCCGATCCTAAACGTGTCGCCCGACGTCGAACGATCTGTAGCACTCTGAGTACGAGCTGGGGAGGACTCTCAGCCACTACCACACCTGCTGCAGCTCATGTGTGTGGAGCTGACGGAGACTAAGGTCAACGGGCTCCTGGTTGTGGCAGAAACAGGAAGTGAGAAAAATGCAGCTCGGTGACTTTTCTGAATTTAAAGCTAAAAAAAAAAGTTGAGCAGTAAATTCCAGAAGATGGCGCCGGGATAAGACAAGGAGCGGAAGTGTTTGTTACTCACAACGCTGGAGGTAAATATTTGTCACTCGGGGACGAGCTGCAGATTCTATCAGAGGAATGAAGTTCCATCAGAACCTCAACAAACGGGTTCTCCCAAACAACAACTCCGTACAAACATCTTCGTTATTTCTTTTACTAAGAACCAGAATCTGACGGTTCACTCAGGCTCACCTAGACTGGACACACAAGTCCTGGACTCAGTGGACTCTGACCCCCATCAGATCTGAATCCAGTCAGAACCATTGGACTCAGACCTGAGTCCAGTCAGAACCTTTGGGGTGAGGTGGAACGGGGGACTCCCATCATGGGCGTTTGGTTGCAGCAGCTGCATGATGTCATCATGTCAATATGGACCAGAACCTCTAAGTTCCCAACACTTTGTTGAACCAGCGCCGTCATGAATGAAGGGAGTTCTGCGGGCAGAACCCAGAACCAGCAAACTGTAACTCCCAAATTCAAACTGGACTTTATGAAGCAGCCATTATTTTCCTTCTGGGGTGGGTCAGGGAAGCTGGTGTCCATGTCCTCACTGTGAGCAGTGGGGGACACCTGGACAGGTCTGAGTCCATCACAGGGACACAATCATTTGCCCGCTTCCAGGTTTACAGATTAAAGCCCAGCTTGTCAGGAACGTCCCACAGAAGCTAAAAGGCCAGAGGACGAGCTGCAGCCGAGATTTGTCCGTCTTTGCTTCAGACTGTAGAGGTTAAACACGTGAGGAGATTATCGGGTTAAACGGAGCACGTGTTTGAAGCAGACAGGCTGCAGGTCTTCAGGAGTCCTGGTTCAGACAGAGAACTGAAGCGTCACTCACCCTGCAGGGTAGGCCAGCAGTCCGGCTCTCGGGTCACAGGCCAGCGCTCGGTTCCCCGGAGATGTGATGCCGATAACTTTCTCCAACATCACCTGGAAGACAAAAACCAGAGACGATGCACTGTGAAGTCCAAACGAGCCGAGACGACAGCTAAAATGTAAAAACCAGAACGTGCTGATGTGAAAAGATTTGGTTCCAGGCAGAAGATCCTAAACAGAAATGTTTCAGAGACTTCAGAAGTAAAGATGGACACAGGTTCAGCAGTCTGTCTAAAACTAGAGGAACGACTTCAGAATAAAGCTCCTGAATGAATTTCACAATAAAGTTTCTGAATAAAGACTTTACTCTCCATCATCTCCAGTTCATAATTTGATCCACAGATTAGAAGAATCTGAAGAAATCTGAGGTCAAAGGATGAGGCCCTCAGGGGCCACTGTGTTAAAACCAGGTCTGGTTCTGTTCAAAGATGTGGACACCATCTAGAACTGCTGCCATCTTCTCTGGACCAGAGCTCATTTCAAAAGGACTGAGGTGAAGTCCAGAACTGTTCTGTGATCAGACGGGTCCAAATCTGAAGTTCTGTTTGGAAACCACATCCTCCAAACTAAAAGGAGGGGACCACCCAGCCTGGACCAACTCACAGGTCAAACAGCTGCCTCTCTGATGGTATGGGGGTGCATTAATGCCTCCAGCACGTGCAGCTTCTACATCTGGAAAGACTCCATCAATGCAGGAAAGTTTCTTCAGGTTTTAGAACATCTGTTCCATCCAGCAGAGAAGATCCAGAACTGAAGTCCATCAGACCAGTTCTGTGAGTTTTTGACTTTCCTCTGAACCTGGGAGACGTCAAAGCAGGACGTCAGGAATGTCTCAGTGCGAGGGGACAACACTAAAGTCAAACGTCTCCAGTCCTCCAGAAGATAATCCTGCTATAAAAGGTCAAAACAGTCCCGACTTAATCTGGCATCATGTGAAGGAATGCATATCACCCGCCAAGGTTTTAAGACCTCACGCAGTCCGAGAGCTCTCAGAGACTGTGTAGGGGATGACTCTCAGCCACCACCACACCAGCATTTAGCTCAATATCAATATCAATATCAATATCAATACATATCAATATGTGTTTTTTAGGCCAGGTGGTTACAGCAGCCATTTTAAATCAGGCAGACATCAAAGGTTAACCAGCTGTAAATGTGCAGCTGTTGGTGGAACATGAAACTTTCTGATGCTTTCCAAAACACAACTCTGCGTCTGAGTGAATTAATTTATTTGGTTTGAAAATCAGGGTTACGTTAAAACTCGTATCAGAAGAACTCCTGCAGCTAAACTCGTTTTATTTTGTTTCTCAGGTTTGTCTCTGCGTTAACTTCCCCGAAGCAGGAAAACGTCTCGATTGTATCAACAAATATCTTGATTCTTACAACTTGTTTTAATTTTTTTTTTTTACCCATAAGGAAGTTCCTGAACAGATATTTGTCCCGACCACACGAGTAAAACTGGTCCGGTGAGTCGGAGTCGAAACACAGAGTTTAATGGAAGCAGCGAAGTCGGGCAGGAGTCCCGCAGGTTAAAACGGGTCAGAAACACCAGAAATAAAAATAGATTAAAATCATTCCTGGGCCGGTGAAGCACCTGGTGGTTTTTATGTTTCATAAAGGAAACAGGACAAGTTACATAAAAAAATCACTTCCAGTGTTGATGAAACATCAGAGCTCGGACACAATGGAAGTCAACGGGAGTTACTGTGCTCTGCACAGATTACAGAAAACAAAAGTCTTACAGCAGTTAAATGAACAAATATTAAACATACCTACAATATGATGTATGAACTACAGACGAAGTGTGGGAGACACAAAGTGTGCACAAATTTGTCAAATATAGACGGGCCAGACGCAGATATCTTACATGTGATTGTTTAAAAAGTGTTAAAGATATTAAAACAGCTGTTCAGTCGTGAAAAGTTTAAACTCTCAGTGATGGTTCTGCTGTGGAATCTGAGCTGGAGAACCAAACAGTGCTGGGTTCTACCACGCGGTTCTTCTAACTCTCATGATTTGTTTATTTATTTTTAATCTAAACTGTCCAACCTGAAGTAACGGCACACTATTCCTGAGCAAGGTGAAACTTTTTTGTACTTTTTGGACTTTTCCAAAACTAGAGGAGGATATATGTTAACAAAACCCTGTGAATAAAACATAAAAATAACAGACAAATGGTAATAACATTTATTTAAAACGCTTAAATAAACAGATTGTTTTTTTGAACAGAGGTAAAAGCTAAGATATTTTATGAAAGGAGAGTGAATTAAAGACTAACTTTGTTCGTTAGTCTTTAATTGATCACATTAAATAAAGATGTGTGTGTATGTGTGTATTATGTAGCAACCCAGAGAAACTGGTCGGGCTGCAAGGGATGCTGGGTAATGTTGTGGTATTTGTGTGAGACTATTGTGTTTTGTTACAATGGTTGGAGTGTGGTTTTTCTGTTTGATGTCCTGTTCAGGTTTGGGTTGACATCTGTGCTGAAGTGTGTGTTGACGGGTGTAAAACTGACATCATGTGTCTCAGGTTGTTCCAGTGTGTTTAAGAGGAAAGCACTTACAGACAAGTCGGAAAATAGTGTGTGTTCAAATAAAAAGAGCAACGTCACACAAGCTCGTATTCATCGTATATTCTTGCTAGAACCTGACAGATGTTACTTTACATATATATATATATAGTTGTGCATCTGATGCTTGACCTTATACTAAATAAGTCTTATTTAAAGTTAATATTTTCATAAAAACTATTAAATCTGCTGTATTCAATGTTTAAACTAATAATTTTTTTGTTTGGACCTCACAGAGAGCAGCACGGTGGCGCAGTTGGTAGAGCTGCTGCCTCACAGCGAGCAGGTCGCCCCAGTTCAAATCCTGGTCCAGGGCCCTTCTGGGTGGATTTTGCATGTTCTCTCCGTGCATGCGTGGGTTTTCTCCAGTTACTCCGGTTTCCTCCCACAGACCAAAAACATGCATGTTAGACTGATTGGTAACTCTAAATTGTCCCTAGGTGAGAGTGAGAATGGTGGTTTGTCCCATTGTCTCTATGTGTCCCTGTGATGGACTGGAGACCTGTCCAGGGTCCACCTCTCACACAGTGGCTGCTGGTCTGGACATGGGCACCAGTGACCCCCATGATCCGTTAAGGTCAGGTCTCTCTTGTAAATGAGTCCTCGAGGCTCAATGGGATTTACCTGTCTAAATAAAGGTTGAATGAAAAAGGAAGAAGCAGGTAAAAATAATTGTTGATGGACCTCACAGATACACATAAGTCCGTTGAAAACAGGTGTTCATCCTCATAGCAACATGTAACCGTAAAATATTAGTTATTAATCTAAACAGATTATCATTATATCATTATAAATTGCAGCTAGCCGTATACTATATTATTTATGAACCTTAAGTGTAAAAATAGTAAATAATGGTCCTGCAGGAGCTCAGAAACCCAGTAAACCTGTAGAAAACACACTCCGAGGACGCCGTTATGTTGTCGTCTGTGTGTGAGCGCGTGCCGTGTGTGCGCGCGCACCTTTTTGCTGAGGTCGTGCTTATTCCGCGCGGTTCCACTCCGTCGGAGTTTAATGGACGGGGAGCGCAGCAGGTTCTTGATGCGGCTGCGGATGGTTCCGGTTCCGTCGGAGGACATCGCGCCGTTAGCCGCCGGCTAGCCGCGTCCCTCTCGGCGGTCGCAGCTCACTCCGAGACGCTGCGCGGATCCAACGATCAACCATGAATCGCCTCCTCTGGTCCTGTCATGTTGTTTACGGACCGAACCGAGCCAGGCCGGAGCGTTCAGCTAGCCTGGACCTGGTTCCGAACGGGCTGACCCAGTTCCCTGCTGCTCCACATATTAGCTTGTTTCTCCGCCGCAGCAAAAATTGAACCGAGCAACTGAGAGTGGAGCTAAGGACTAGGAGGGATTCTCCACCGGCGTCAAGCCACACGCGGCACACCGTCAATTCCACTTCCGGAAAACTCTTTTCAAAATAAGGTTACAGACGTTAACGCATTCGGTACTAACATTAATTTCCGGAACAACGAATTTCAAAATAAGACTAAATTGGCTGTTACTGCGATTTTTTTATTTATTTATTTGTCCTTTTTACGGTTATTTCAAAGTATGACAAAGTAGATAGAATCAGAGTCTGAATACATTTTTAACCCTAAACAAAAATAGAGTATATTTTTGTAATTTTTGTCTAGGATTTTTTTGTTTAATTACTATGTTTACTTAAAAATATTGCAATATAAAATGAAAATATGCCATTTTACAACAAGGCTATGCTTATAAATGACTAATAAATAGTTAATATTGCTGTTAATAAAGTGAAAACAGTCAATAGGAGTTAATTAGTGCTAGTAGAAACAAATTTAGTTTTAGCATATAATTATTATATACTAATATATATATATATATATATATATATATATATATATATATATATATATATGTGTATGTATGTATGTATGTATGTATGTATGTATGTATGTATAATTAAATAAAAAATGCTGAGCAGCTAGAGAAAATTGACCCCAAATGGATTTCATATTTTGCTACAAGCAGAACAGAAGTTACTCGGTAGCTACACAGTAAATAAACTGAACTTGGTCTTTCTCTTTCCACATGAACCATCTTATCTCAAGCTTGGGTCCTCCACCAGAGATCATGAGGGTTCTGCTCAGGATCTTAGCTGTTCCTAAGTCAGAGACCTTTGAGACCATGATTCTGCATTTCCTCTTTCAGCTCTTGGCACCTCACCAGCTTCTCGGGCATGTTCCAGTCTCTTCGGATAATCACTGAAACACGTTTACTGATCTGACCTTCAGCTGAGTCTGCTGTGAAGACCGTCAGTAGTCTGAAAAGTTTTACACTTGTGAATCATCCTTTTCTCTGTAGAACAATGGACTCCAAATGACCTTTGACCCTTCACAAATTGCTGGGCAATAGCTGCTTTTCTGAGGTCATTGCTGATGTCTTCCCATCGTGGCACGGTGTTCACACACACATGTATGCTGCAGGTTAGAGGTGGTCCGACTGATGAGGATCAACTGATCAATACATCTGATCACCAGAATAATCCTAAATCTGCTCAACATTTTAGATATTAAATCTATAAATTTAAAAAGCCGGTTTGTCGTCTTGCACAATTTGTGTCATAAGAAAAAAAAAACTTTATAATTTGTTTTCATTGAGATCAAATTTAGAAACACAAATAAATAGAAAAAACCCTTTATTGATTTACTTGAAAGCGTTCAGACAACTTTTATCTCACTCAGAGGTTCTTAAACATCTGTAAACGTAAAACGACACAAAACTGAAGTTTAGACGACAGAACGTGTGGATTCTGCAGTCGGACCTGGAGCGGTTCATCCTGTTGGTGTCTCAGGACTCGAGGCTGAGCAGTACGTTTCACAGGATTGTTGTCAATAATTGTTTTTACTTATTGCTGTTGTGTCTTCAGCTGCAGGATGCTGCATCGCCATGGTAACAGTCTGATGTGAAACTAAAAAAAAACTTGTGGTGGTTTTAAAACTCCAAAACTTTAGGATTTCAGTTTCCTTTAGAAACTGACAAAATAAAGAAAATAAAAACGTTTTGGTCTGACTGTTCATGTTAAAATAAACCCATGAGAATCCTGCGGACCTGCAGAACCCCTGAAGTCCTACAGTCAGCTCGGGGAGTTTCCTTGGACCCCCAGAGGGACCAGCCTGGGCATCGGCCTCCAGCCGACCCCCTTGCCGACCCCCTTGCCGACCCCCTTGCTGACCCCCATGCTTCCTACCCCCTCCATTGCCGTGCTGTCGATCCTGGTGAGGCTGCCCACTTTGGTCCCGCCCATCTTCATGTGCAGCAGAGGGGGCGGGGCTAAAATGCCACAGTTAGTGTTAACAGAATCTGTTCCTGGCTGCTCAGCCTTGTTACCGGTCTCTGTGAGGTCAATCGGTCCAGGATCCACAGAGTCCAGCTGCCTCAGCCGGGTCCTGCGGGTGTGTGTCTGAGCAGCCGCCCCACCAGGATCCTGAATGGAAAGTTTTTCTGGTTTTTGCTCTGCGGCTGCCATGACAACAGTCGTCTGGTTGAGAAACACGATCTCGTTGAGGAGAGACGACAGGCTCTCGCTCTCCGGGTTCTGCTGGGGATCCGGACCTGGAGGCCCTCCACCCGGCTGTAGATCGGAGTCCATCGTCGGAAATGGACTGAATGAGGATGCAGGTCTGTGGGTCAGAGGGGGGTCCTGGTTCCTGTAGAACAGCGCACGAGGAGCGCCTGGACCCAGCTGGGTCCGATGATGATGCTGAGTACTTTCTGTCTGAGCGAGGAGAGGCAGGCTGCTGGAGACGGCTGCTGTAAAAACAAACAGTGACAATCAGCTGTTTCCTCTCACAGATAAATGATTCACATTTATTTTCAGACGGGAACTTCTAAATATCCAAATCCTGCAAGAATTCATGTGAAAGGACCGGCCCAATACTGATTACATGTACATGGACACACTTCTCAGACGGCTAATATTTCTGAATTAAAATTAAATTTATTTTTATTATTATTATTATTATGTAATATTCTAATTACAGTATTAAAAAATCTAAATAATAAAAAATAAAAACTGAACTTCAGCTATAATTATTAAAATTAACAAAAATAACAGCTTGAACTATCTCCCTGTGTGTAATAAATCTGAAAAATGGACGAGTTTAACTTTTTGAGATGTTTCTGCAAATGTCTCAAATCTTTAAAAGATCAAAAGTGGTACAAAGGGCAACAAGCACTTGGAAACAAGCAAACAGTTACATATTTTAAATAAAAGTTCATAAAACTGCGACATACAGCAAGTGTTGATTTATACGTTGACAGAAGGAAAACTTTGATATGAGAATATGGAGTAATAAAATTTAAATGCAGTTTGATCTCCTTTACTTTCAGTACTTAAAGAAAAAAAAAACACGTGGGATTTAAACTGCAAGCTACAAAGTTAGTGTTAAACGTGTACTATCAGGACACGGCCCCCTTTAGAAGAAAAGTGACTCAAATTTTGTCTTTTGTTGCAAAGCTCACATGAAATGAACTCCAAAGTCAAGAAAACCAGAAACAAAGGACCCGACAAAACAAATCCAACAGTTTTCTTTTTAAGAAAGCAACTGGAGAAATGATTGGTTTCCATTTTTTAAAACCATTTTTATCTGAGGTTTGAGTTCTTCAGAACACGCAGAGACGATGTTACACCCACAGCTGGAGGTTCTGTCGGTACAGTAATTGGACCGGATCATTCAGATCTAGCTCAGCCTCAGCTCTGGTCAAAGCAAAGTGTTAGGGGTCTGTAGGGGGATCTGCCTGCAGAGCTGAGGTCTCAACGATCACTGGGCTGACGGTCAGCGCGGGGTCCCCTGAGAACACCTCCCTGACCAGAGACAGAACCCGAGCCAACAGAGACTGAGACAGAGGCGTACCTGGAAGGTCCAATCAAACAGGAAGTCATTTAGTCTGAAGCCAATCAGCAAAAATACTGATCATGTGATTAAAACCATTTTCAGTTTAGAGTTCTGTGCTGCGAGGGAATTTCCAAAATGTCTCCAAACGTTCCCGAGGTTTCCTCATGGGAGTGGCAGAACCTGGCCTCAGTCGCCTGAACAGAACTCAGGACGCAAGATTTATAAAACAAACGTATTCTCTAAGAGTCGTCACAAACTCATCTCGAGTCGGACACTGAGGGACGGGAGACAACTTTGGGATGATTTGCCGACAGAGGAAAGCAAACTGTGATGGGCTGGAAACGAAAAAGAATCAAACTGAGCCAAAATTAAGACACTAAATTATGAAAAAATACATTTTCTACGTCATGAATGCTGCAATTAATTCCAAGTTAAATAAGTGCTCGACTACGTTTTAAACACCAATAGTAAAAAAAAAAAGTGTTTTCTTGCATTTCTGCATCTCAAATCAGCCCCAGCCCAGTGAGACCTGGGCTGAACGTGATTTTTATATGAGAGCAGTAAAATAACGAGCCTGAACTTTTCACAATCTTCACTCCCCACAGCCAGATTATTTTACAGCCTGGTGTGAACAAAGAGCAGGAGGGGATCGACGATTATAAACAAGTGGAAACGCTGACGCAGCACAGCAACGGTTTATTTCCTGACGTGTGAAGGAGTTTATGGGGCTCCGGTAAAAAAACAGGAAAGCACGGTGAAGCTGCAACTGTTGATCGTCCCACTAAACACTGGGGAGGATTTTTAGATCTGCAGCTGGGTGACAGATTTCTGCAAGAAGTTAGTGTGGAGGTTTAAATTACATCATGAAGCGGCAGCTTTCTGGAACAATCCAGGGCTGCAGTGCACAAATAAAAACTGCTGAACGTTGAGGCAGAAAGAAAATGGAAACAAGAAAACTGAAATCAGCGAGGGTCACCGCTGCGTTCAGCTATTTAAATAAAACTGGAACATAAGAAAGGCTCGGTCATTAGAGAGCTAGTTCTTACTCTGTGAAGCGAGCACGCTCGGAGGCGACAGTCGAGCTGCACTTTTACAGCGAGAGAGGATATTTGGAACCGTCTTCGTCAGCGTCGTAGTTCCAGGTGCATTGTGGGAAATGCCAGGATGAGCTAGGGCAGAGTTGGACAGCTTCACAACAGTAGGGGGAGGAGCTTGTGGGTCACATGTTGCTGTATCAGCCTTGGTATCTCTTGCAGGTGAAGCAGCAGGAGGTCCACGCCCTGCTGGCAGCCTCTCCTCCACCATCATCACCTCCTCATCTGCAGCCAGGAACAGAATAAAGATCCATATTAACTTTCTGTCCACTTCAGTTGATTCAACTGGATCTCTGAGGATCTTCTTACTAGAGCCCAACCGAACCACGGGTAGGCCCGATATATTGGTAGGGCCGATATATCGGTAGGGATGATATTTTAGGTTGATAAAGGTATTTGGGGACATATCGGTAACGTTGATAATTGTCCCATTATGCGCGGATATAAAAACTTCTGTACATCCCTAAAATCCTGGGAACCAGCAGTAATTGTACAATGTATCCAGCAGAGGGCGCATGAAGACTACATTCAAGTCATGGCCGTTCATTTTAAGTTTCACTCTCAGTGCAGCCGACGCAGCGAGCAATACCGTGTAACATATTTTGCTGAACAGAGCATGGTACATTTCTTTTAAATGATATGTAAAATAAAAAAAATCTCTTCAATCCTTCCAACCCGCTTGTCACTAGCTATGTGCCTCTCAAGTTAGCAAGCTAACGTTTAAATAACCTAGCATATGCTATTGCCTTGTAAAACTTTATCCAGAACAATGAATTTAACGTAGAGGTAAAATATATCAGAGTTGGCAACTTTATCTTTGTCGTCCTCAGTGAAATGTATTGTTTGTCTGAAATCTTTTAGAAACAAAAAGCTGCTGCGATCAATCCTAATTAGACCTTCACTATACACGACTGACTGACTAAACATTGAACAGGGAAGGCTGTTTTTTTGTTTAATTTATTTTTTGTAACACACTTGATAACTTTACGGTGAATAGTGGAGGATAGAAAATGTGAAGACTGTTTCCAGACTTCAAGTGTTTTCTACTGGGATTATTGAGCATGCATCAGAATATTTAACTCGCAGGACCTTGTTCTGGTCTTAAATAAATCCTAAAAATATAAATACAAAAAGTGATGTGTGCAAATGTATTCACCCCCTTTGTTTTGAAGCCATCACCTCCAGAACTCAGATAATTGGATAAATAAGATCCACCTGTGAACAGTTAGGGGCTACCACCAGTCAAGAGACATCAAGAAGGCCAAAGAACTCTCCACACAGAGACAAAGTCAGAGACATACTCAAGAGGACCAAGATGTCCCCGGAGGAGATGGAGGATCAGTTCAGTTGTGTTGATTCAGTCTGTTCAGTTCCAGTTCCTGTCATTAGCAGGGACTAATGAAAGATGGAGCAAAATAAAAAGACAGTCCAGACGTTACAGGAGAGACTTCCTGCTGCAAAAGTTGACGACTCAAAGACCAACGTAAAGGATGAAGAGTTATGCACGCTAGTTTTTTTTTCTTATTTCACTTTTGTTTCAAGACAAAATCAAATTGTGCATCATCAAAGTGGTAATTATTGTGTAAAATAAAACATCCAAACATTTAAAAATATTCATTTAAATGAAGGCAACAACACAAAGAACAAACCGATGGGGGGTGATGAATTTTGTGACCCACTGCAGCCGGAGATGTTTCACACAAAACTGTTGAGCTTTTTTTTTTACTTTAAATGTTGATTTGAGCTGGTGGTAGCTTTAGACACAAATACAAAATGTGAGTTTCCTTTGAGAAGCAGGAAAAGGCTAACCTGAAGTGTTAAGGAGCTCCTCCGTGTCTTGTTTATGGTTCAGTTTCGACTTGAAGCTTTTCAGCATCTCCATCTCCCTCGGTGGAGCCTTGATCTCCTGGGCAGCCTGAAACCAACAAACAACCTGTTTGTTTGTCTCTTTGTTTATGTTTGTGTTGCGTCAAGAGATGCTGAATAGCTGAGCGTACCTGATCTGGCAGCAGCCTCCTCGGAGACGTTGGGATGTTCGTGACAGCGGTTAAAGTTTCTTTCTCTTCCCTGTAAACAAAGAACCATGTCTCTAAACCTCGCAGCTGATTTATGCACTTTTTAAAACTTCTCCTGGCACCGACATCAGTTTGTCAACAGCGCTGGTCAGGAATGAGGTTAGTATTGTGGGAAACCGCAAAACTCCCAGATGTCAGACAAACAATACGTCAGACGGTATGAATAGGCCTGTCACGATAACAAATTTTGCTGGGCGATTAATTGTCACAGAAATTATTGCGATAAACGATAATATTGTTTGAAATTTGACAATAATTACTAATTATTGTCAAATTTAAGAAGAAATGTTTGGAAATTCGTTTTGCATGCAGTACCTTTTTCGACCACCGGATGGCAGTATGAGTATTTGAACCAAAGGAAGGAGCGAGCAGCGTGTCTTTAAGAAAAATGGGAGGGAGGCCCCTTGCTTGCCTTGACATGGCACGGGCTGTCTCTCTCTGGTTCTCAAAATGGCAGACACTCTGTGTCATTTGTGCTCTTTAGCATAGCATTTTTCACACAAAGCTTTTAATAAACATCAGAAAACAAGTTCTCAGCTTCTTTTTGTAGAGAAAAACAACTTTTTAGACAAAGGCACACTATTAGCTTAGCTCGTAACTTAGCTTATCAGCTTAGCCGCTTTTAACAATACCAAAACATGATTTTGGACGGTTTAAATGGATTTTAAAGCGAAAAGAGAAAGGGAAGTGTCAGTGAAGAGCACCGGAGTTGAGCTTTTTGTCATCCAGTGTCTTCAGTAGAAAGAGAAGAGACACCAAGAAACGATAAAGCTGATAAATGAAAATGAGGTCGATTATTTTCATTTATCGTGTGATTAATTGATTAATTGATTTATAGTTTATCGCGACAGGTCTAGGCATGAACAATGGCCACAGCTATCAGTTCTTTTCCTCTATTTTACAAAAGTGAAACGGTTCTTAAACAATTGATAAGTTCTATTTTGTCTTATTATCACAATCAGTTTTTGGAAATTTCATTTTTCTCCCTTGATTTGCTAGTTTTAGCTATAAACCAACTTTTCGACTGCTGTCACACCACTCCAGGTAGAGAATGCCACGAAGGCGATGGTATTTTTAACTATTTTGAATAGAACGTGTCATATTAAATATGTACACACGTGTTCCTGTTTGTGCGGTCGAAGCCAACGGAGCATCAGAGTCGAACCCAATGATCATTTCTCTCCCTGAGGAATCAGCTTTGGAAACAGCACGACCATATAACATGCATATGAGGCTTGTCAGCACGTCGGCTGTCACTATTGCTAGTCCCGTAGCAACAAGCGTAGCTTCATGGAAACCATTTTCTCGTTGTTTTTTAAAACGACTACAGCGCTTATCGTGTTGTGCTTGAAGTCCCGCTTGCCTGAGATCCGGGTACTTGCTGATGTCACACATTGCGTAGGCAGATGTTTTAGTATCTCTGACCAGAGCTATTCATGGTTATTCAGGCTGGATTATGTGGTTCTCTTTGAGCACAAGCAGCAGCAGCTAGCTGTAGCACTTACAATGCCACTTCTGAAAATAAAAAACTACAGCAGTTTGGTCTCGGCTGCATTCAGACTAGCGATAGCTAGATTTAATTCTTCAAAGTTGTTCAAAGAACTATCTGCAACAGGTAAGATACTGTTAACTTTTCTGCAGAAGCCCACTTCACAACGGTCAAAATATTCCCCACACAAATATGTGTTTAGATAAAATGTTTTTTACAAGTTGCTACAATTAAAGATGTGTCGTCACTTCTTACTTTGATCTCTTCATCCTCTCCATCTTGCACCTCATCCTCTCCATCTTGCTCCTCATCCTCTCCATCTTGCTCCTCATTCTCTCCACACTGACCTCAGCAGCTCTAGGACACGTCTTCAGCTTCGTCATGGCCTTCTTCTCCTCACGTGACCTCAGCTGGCCTTCAGTTGATAACTCACCGGCTGCGTCGGCACCCTGAGCGAATCACAACAAGCTGTTGAGACGCCATTTTGTTTTTGTCCTCAGCCTAAACACTGAAGACATTATTCATCATTTCCTGGTTTGTTTTGGACTCCAGAGGAAAAAAATGTTGTATTAAGAGAGAAAATATGGAATAAAAGTGAAATCAGAAGAAATGTAAAACACATTTAAAAGCACTAAATAAGGATGATTTTAAGATATCTGCTAAAAACTATTTGACTCTTACTTTGGTTTGAGCCTTCAAGTTTGAGTTTGTGCCGGCCAGTTTCTCCTCGTCAGATGAGACTTGTATAACGTTGTCTGAATCCACCTCCACCACAACATCGTCACCACCATCACTGCTCTTATCTTTTGTTGCTACAGAAACAAAGAGCAGCGTCAGCGTAAAGAAACTCATCCGGATCAACGCATCGTCACAGCGTTTCAGTCTTTTATTTACAGCCGAACAGTTTTTAGTGACAGACAGTAAAAATAATCTCTACAGACACTCCGTGAGGATCTATATTTTTAGAAATCTGCCTCGGTCTCGTCATGTGCACCCCAGAGGTGAATGTAGGTGGTTTGGACCTGACAGATGCTGATATATTCAACATGTTGCCAAACCCTGCTCTGGATAATTCCTGAAGCGATATAGTGACCCGGTTTCTGTTCAGACCTGCTGAAGAAGCAAGTATGGACGTGTATTCATCCCTCCTCCTCTTCAGCCTCCTCTTCGTCCTCTTCAGAGCGTCCTCGGTGATCCTCAGCTCCTGGATCAGCTCGAATGCCTGCAACAACACACAGCCCGTGTTCATCCTGGAACCGTTAACTGACTAGGCAGCCGGTCCTTCTGTTGGTTCCTGACCTGCGTCAGAGTGGACCGCTTGGACATCCGAGTCTGTCCCACCTCCTTCTGCAGGTTTTCGAACTTATGCTGCAGCTCCACTCGGCGCTTCCTCTCGGCCATAATGTGAGCGAGGCGCTGCAGAAACACAAACATCAACACCCGTTAACGTATGAAAACAGGATTAAACTTGCTTTTCGGGGGGGTTTACAGCTGCTGCATACAGATCTCTGTTGAGAGGTTTTATCCAAGCCAGTTTCCACAATGCACTGTTTACTTCACTGAGATTTATGACATTCTTTTCCAGAACCGGATGAAGGGATGTTTGTTACAACTTCTCTTATTGTCAAATTCTTTCAGAGCCAGCAGCAGCAGACCTCAAACCTAAACCAACCCTTTAGATTATTTAAGTTTCTATTAGTCAAGTAAAACTTTGAAAACATGACTTGTTAGAGAATGAACGAGGACTCTTACGTTGGTGTTTTTATGTAGCAGCTTGTCCTCTTCTCTGTCTGACTCACTGAAGTCTGACGAGTCCTCCGTGTCGCTGGTGGACAACAGGTCCACCACATCTGCAGATTGCTTCTCCGCCATAAAAAACTCCACATTGTCATCCACGCTGACGATCTCCAGATCCATCCGGTCGCGGGCCAGCTCGTGTTCTGGTATCTTGGCTGGGGGAGACCGTGCTGGAGATGGGAGCTCAGTGTTAGGAAGAGTCTCTGCAGGGGGCAGGGTAATGGGGTAGACTTTTGGGGGTGCCGTTTTTTGCAGGGCAACCAAGTCTTCAGGGTTGGCAGTTACAGCCACCGCTTTGACCACCTGCTCAGTCCTTTGACCAATGGAAGGTTCTGTGGAGATGAGGTTCACGGAGGCTGGAGTGGGGTTGGGGTCCTGAGGCTGTAGGACACAGTGTGGGGCCCTCACCACCTGGGTAACGAAGATGGGCTCTTTGCTGGGGCTGCAGAGTTCAATGGCGCAGGGACTCTGGTTAGCCACAAAAACAGGCTGAGGGTGGATGGGGCCAGCAAGGGGCATCACAGAGGAGGAGGACGATGACAAAGATAAGGGCACTGATGAAGAGGAAGAGGGGGCCGAAGATAAGGATACCGAAGAAGAGGAGGAGGGCATGATCAGCGTGGTCAGAGCTGGATTTACCACAGCTGGTGTCAGAGAGGACAAAGCAGGGATGACCATGGAAGAGGAGGAAAGACCTACAAGACCTACAAGAGGACGACAAATTCAAACAGAATTCATGATGTACGCCATCTTTAAACTATAAACATCTGGTCAGAAAGGACAGTCACAGCCGTAAAACAATATTGCAAGATCTAGCATGACCTAAACCCCCAGTTCACCATGAACTCAACAGGTCTCGCTTGTAAATAAGTCCCTGAGGCTCAGTGGGACTAACCTGTATAAATACAGGTTGAATGAAAACTCACATTTCAAATCATGTTTCAAATCAGTTCCCTCCCCTTAGCAGTCCAGAACCACAGGCCGGCTGGGTGACGGTGCAAAGTAAATGAAATGCTAAAATTAAGCCCCCGGTTAACCACCGACCCGTTCCAAGTTTCAAGTAGGTATTCTCCGTGCTTAGTGAGACACCCGCCGAGGAGCAGACTCTCATTATTGGTAGCCCCAAAGTCCGAAACGTGGCTCTTGCGACTCAGACCACAGTCAAATGAATTCCAGGGACCAGAGCAGGCGTCAATGAATCCTACATGAAACTACAGCTAATGCAGTGAAATCGTTATTCACGTCAGCGAAAATGACACTCGGTTATGCAAATCAGAGATCAGTAAAATCGATGTTGCTTCAGTGTGTAACTTGGCAAAAACTATGTCGGAATCTGTAGTTTTCTCCGGACCCCTCCCCAATCTGGCCAGTGACGACCTGTTTAGTTGTATGTCGGCATTTAACCACTGGGTGTCCAGGTGGTGCTCTGAAAACAACGTTGGATTTGTAGACAACTGGAGTGCATTTGGGGGGAAACCTAGACTGATGCGGAGAGATGGAATCCATCCCACTTTGAATGGAGCAGCACTTCTCTCTAAAAACTGAGCTGATTCAGTTGGACATACAAATTATTGACAATCAAGGGTGCAGCCTAGAAACCAGTCCAGGAAGCAGAGGTGTCGTCTTCCACACCTCTCTGCTGCTTCTCCTCTCTTACCCACCCAAAACCCCATTGAAACAATGCCGACTCGCCCACAGCTCAAATTAAATAAACCAAAAATCAGCTCTAAAAATGTAAAATTATCAAGCCATAAACACCTAATTAAACTAAACAGTTGCTTTACCAGAACAAAAGAATAAAATATTTAAATGTGGTTTACTGAACATCAGATCTCTTTCCTCTAAATCCCTGTTAGTTAATGACCTGATAACTGATCATCATGAAAGTTTTATCAGGAGAAAGTCCGCTCTGTCTCTGTAAAGCTCGATCACAGGTGGAGAAGCTGAAGCTGCGATGACGTCAGAGAGGTTTGGACGGATCACGTGATACGTGAGTGTCACCTGGAAGGTTCGACAAACACTCTTCAGAATGCGGAGCTTGGTTCTGAGAGCTCAACTCCTAGAGTCTGGGGTCTGAGTTCGTGGTCAAAAATACAAGTGTGGGTCATTCACATAGATGCAAGAAAAACTAAACTTATACGAGGGGTTTAGCAGGAATCGGTGGTCTGAAAGCAGAGCAGAAGTCAAGGGCGGGCAGAAGTATCCGTCTTGGGCAAAAAAAGGGCGAGGAATGAACAATCCACGCCATTTGTGCGGCATGGATTGTTTATTAAAACTATTATTTAAATTTAAATTGTTTATTTACCCTGCCTTCTATGCAGGTGTAAGGAAGGTAGGTGCAGCAGAGACACAGTCGATGAGAATGAGTGTGACTGCGGCGGAGATGTGGGCGTCGCAGGGAACCGAGATCAAGACACGCTGTGCTCTTTTAAAGTGTTTACAGTTTAGAACATTGTTAAGAACATTGCAAGAGTGAGGGAAGGGTT